CCGGGTGCCCAAAATGGCCGGTGCAACCATTTTCGCGCGGTTTCCTCGCTTACCGAGGGCATGAAAATGGCGGTGCTATGGAGGAACTTCGCATAACTGTGAGTTTGGGCCACATAGGAACGTATTAAACGAAGTTTAATGCGTTCCTATGGGGTTTTTAGTTCTGTTTTGCGATGTTTCCGGATAGCGACGATTAATCCGGAACGGATTAACGTCGCTATGCGGGGCACCACTGTATTTGCCTTCATCTTTTAACAAATGCCCTATCAAAGTTATTTCTTGGAATGTTGCAGGCTAGCCTTCCAAATTGATAGACAAGGATTTTAAAGATTTTTGCTCTCAATTTGAAATTATTTTTATTCAAGAAACCTGGGTGACCTCCATGGCTCTCCCTTCTCTCCCTGGATATGCTGTCCATATTCTACCTGCTACCAAGCCAGAAGTCAGGGGTCGGGCACAGAGAGGCCTGGCAACCTTAATCTCAGTTGATGGTAACCTAGATATTCTAGAGCTTGATATTAGCAGTAATATTCCACAGGTTACTTGGCCAGCAGGTTTTAAATATTTCTTGCTAAATGTGTATTGTCCTCCACAAAATTTAAGGCATGGAAGTGACTTAACACTATCAGAACGAGATAAGGTCCTCTCAAATATCTTTAAGCAGTATACTGACCCTCCAATTCTGTTAGGAGGTGATATGAACACCAGAATAGGGAAAAATAACTATAAAATGGAAGATGAATTGGGACTTGCATCTGAAGACTTAAATTATCTTCCTGATAGAAAATCTAAGGATTCAGGGTTTAACAAAACTAGACAATTCTTTTTCAGCCTCATTTACAAATACTATCTGCATATACATAATGGAACAAATGTAGATCCAGAATCAGGCCTATATACATTTATTGACCCAAATGACAAAAGTGTAATAGACTACATGATTCTCTCATATAGTCTACCACACCCAGTGCTGCCTCACTTTGACAATTTTAGTCTTTAATAGGCCTGAGAATGATCATATGCCAATTAAATTATCTCGCTCTCTCTGCCAATCAGAAAAAAGTCATTAATGACACCATTTAAGTAAAATATGCAGGGAGAAGGTTTCATTGGACTGCAAATTTACAGGAATGAATAAATTTATTTGTAATGTTCCCCAGGCTGCTATCCTTAAAAGATATTACCTGCTCAGACCCTTTGAAAATTTTCAATAAAATTGTCATTGTAATTAGACCTCTAATGGTCACTTCCTAGCCTGCTTGCACAGGCACACAATACTATCAAGGATGGTTTGATGCTCAGTGTGCTGCCCAGAAATATCCTGGCAAGAGCAATAAGAAGACTGAGGCAAGACGATTCATTAGAAAATTCCTCTTCTTATATCCAACTGTTGCAGGGAATATAAAAACCTGCTACAGCATAAAAACAAAGAACATCTAAGGAAATCTTGGTTAGACTTAGGCCTGGCAGCCTTAGAAAGAGATACAGCTAGGTTCTGATCATTAGTGTCCAAGGGAATCAAGACTGGTGCTCTAGACCAGTGATACCCAACCTCTTCTGAGTTGCGGACTTGTTGGGGGGTGGGGTTTGTTCTCAGGGGTGTGGGGCAGCCCTCACACTTGCAGGTGGGGGTGCACTCGTGCGCATGCATGGAGGGGCAGGGCGTGCTTGTGCACATGCATGTTTTTATTGCACGCGTGTGTGGGGGGCAGGGCGTGCTCATGGAGGGGCATGCTTGCGCGCGTGCACAAAGGGGTGGAATGCGCTTGCGCACATGCATGAAGAGGTGGAGTATGCTCACGGAGGGGCGGGGCACCCATGCATGCGGGTGCGGTGGGTGGGGGAGTGCATGCGGGAGCGGCAGGAGATCTGTCTCCACGGCCTAGTCCTGCCATGGCCACAGACTGGTACTGGGCCACAGACCGGAGGTTGGGGACCTCTGCTATAGACAACCAAATAACCTCTTCACAATGGCAAGCCCATTTCTCAGCACTCTTTAGACATACTACTGCTGAGATTACCAAACCACTCTTCAGTCTGAACTCACTTCGCCTTGCATTGTGCCCTGACTGAGACCTAGTCACTCCTGATGAAATAAACAATCCGATCACCTCTTTGCCTAGCAACAAAGCTCCTGGAAAGGATATGCTCCCAGGATAATTGTTTAAATCAAATACTATCTGGTGGTGTGCAGTGCTCACTAGAATGTTTACATATATAAACCAGCATGGGAAAATACCTCAGGGCTGGGGTATAAGTATTATTGTTCCTATACACAAAAGAGGCCCCAAAGCTGTTCCAAATAATTTCAGGCCTAACAGTCTTCTCAACTTAGTATCCAAACTGTATTCCAAATATTTCTGGGCAAATTAGAGTGCTGGGCTGCTGAGAACTCAGTTATTTATTTATTTATTTATTTATTTATTTATTTGTTTGTTTGTTTGTTTGTTTGTTTGTTTGTTTGTTTGTTTGTTTGTTTGATTTATATACCACCCATCTGGTATATTCTACCACTCTGGGCTATGGTAACATGCTCTGCATGGAGGACTTGGAACAGCATCTAGTGTGGCCGAGAATGCCAATTTGAGAGCGGCAATCCCTTTCCATGTTGTTTCGACGCTGTATGTGAAGCTGGAGTGTCCTCTCCAGAGCACGAAGCCTGGGTAAAATAATATGGAGGATAGGCTGTGACCCAATCAGCAAAGCCTCCCTCTCCACATCACTGAAATAGTCTAACGGAAAGGCAAGAGCCAATACAACTGGTTTCAGCGACGTCGCTGGAGTTGGCAGAATGACACGAACTGCCTTTGGGACTCCGGCTCC